GGCTGCATAGCTGAGAAGCAGCTGTGGAAAGAGGGCTGTGCTGGGATGGACAGCCTTTGGATTAACATTAGTATTTCTGTCATCAACTTTCTGCACTTAACTTTTCTAGGCCTTAGTGTCCTCATCTGTAAAACGGGGATCCTAAAACCTACCTCATAGCATTGTTAAGAGGAACAACTAAAACCATGTGTGCAGAGGTGACTGCACCTCTGGCTGGAAAAACAGCCAGAAACCCTCCAAGATTTCATCTGTTCAGAGAGAAAAAAACTGTTGCCCTCTCTGGTATTCAGCTGGTTGAGCTACCACTATTTTTTCGATGTTGAACTTAGCCCAGCTTAGTAAAAGGAATGGTTCTGTACACACTGTAGATAATTAATATATGAAGGAGGGAGGAAGGCAGGAAAAGATAAAATGTAAAAGAAAATAGTAGGTAAAATCCTAACATTTCTTTTTGTAAGAGAGACAGACATGCTCCCTTAATGCCATTCCCCTGCACCTCCTGAGAGGTAGCCTGAGTCTTATTTCAACCACATGAATGAGCTTGGGGTCTCAGTCAGAGAACCATGCTCATAATCTTACTATTAGGTAATTCAAAAAAAATTATACTAGTAAAGCTCTTTCCTTTAATTGTTCTATACACAATTATCCTATACCCTCTGGGAGCTAACTTGATAGTTCACTGGAGACTCACTATTGCTCTATCTTTGGAGTCTGTCAGAAATAAAGTGTGCTTATTATGACTAATTTTGTTTTTTACATCACTAAAGCCTCTTTATGGGCTGTAGCATTTTGTTCTATGGATTCCTAATTCAATTCAGTTTGCAAAAGAAATTTTACACATGGAGAATGAAAGCTCAAGGAGGTCCAGAGAATTGATGCAAGACATAAAATGAATTAGAACCAGACAAAAATTAAATAACCCAATTTGTCTTCATCTTTTTTACTTTTATCCATAAACTAGAATGTTTAAAGTAAGGAAAATGGCAATGGACTGAACATTTATACACTAATATTTTTTAAAAATTATGATTATATGTTAACATGCTTTTAAAATTTTATTAGATTTACAACATAGTTCAAAAATTTATGTGATGAAAAAAGTAAAGGAGCAAATGTTTATCAAAGCATGACTATTTACTATGGTATTACTCATAAGACCTCAGTGTTGCAGAGCTCATTATCCCTGTCTTTACAGATAAAAAAGACTTGCTTAGAAACATCTGATGGCTCTCCACTGCCTTAAGCATAAAGTAAAATTAACTTAAGATGCTAGATGAGTGTCAGTATGGCTCCCTCTCCAATTCATTCTGACATCTCCCATGTCTCTGCTCCCTTCCACCAGCGTATCACAAGCCTCCCTACCTCAAGTTCTAGCCCAATGGTCTGCTCTGCAGTTCCCTGAACAACCTCTGCTGGTTCATGCCTCTGTATCTCACGATGCCCTCTCTGACCCCCACTACCTTCTTCCCCTGCATGAACACTGAGATTCAGATCAAGCTTCACTTCAAGTATTTTCTGAAATGCTATCTTAGTCTACTAATTGTGGACCCCCTGTGACCAATTCATCCCATGGACCTCTCTACCCTTTGGTGGTACAAGCAACATAGTGTAGTTCTTTCTTGGTTCACAAATGTCCCTTTTCTCTGTGAGTACTTAAAAGGTAGGACCAAGTTCTGTGTAAACACCTTTCCTGCTGGGCCTCAGTAACACACTGCTTCATGGTCGAGTGACAAGCCCAGGTCTGTACCTTCATGGCTTTGCCCAAACAAGGGCAGTAAAAACAGACACTGGATAGCTGATTACTTCCCCCTTCTGTTTCTACTCCCTTAAATTCAAATTAAACCTTCATTTTACTTAAAACAAACAAACAAACAAACAACAAAAAAACAGATTAGAGGAGCACAGGAGATCAAGTGGGCAGATGACTCAATGTTGTAAAAGGACGAGAAAGAGTGACAGGCACGCCAACTACTAGAATAGCTTAACCTCCAGTCTGAGGGCTGAGCTGCTCTACAGACGTTCCCGGAGGCCCCAAAGGTAAGGAATTCCAATGATATATGATGTGACTAAAAAGCACTAGTTTGTTCTTTAAAAGACTTTTGATGTTATCACATAAAAACATAATGAGGAACTTGTGTATATATGTAAATACATAAAATTTGTGTTAGTATTTTTTTTTAAATGTCATTAAGTATTTGTGAAAAACCAGAACATTCTGGCTCCAAGCCTTAGTTGGGCTGGCCTTTCTTCAACTAGATACTTTCTGTTAGTGCTTAGAATATGTGGAAATTAGAATTTTTAGGAATAGTCTGCTATGCATACAATGCATGTGGTTCATTCACTACTTTTACTATTTTCCATACTTTCTCACTGGCTTGGCCTTTTGCTTGTACCAATATTGTACTGCCAAATCAGAACACCCTGAAGAATGTTTTCAAGTCACTCCTCTGCTGTACATATCTTTTGTTGTATACCACATAAAAATAAACTTATAAATATAAACACAAGTATTTTTATTCTTATAGAAGGGAGTATGTTAAGGCAGGGAGAGGGGAGTGGAAAACACCACCAAGATTTCTAGCCTGCCTATCTGGAGAAAAGATAGCATTATTACATTCAGGTAGAAGCTTAGGCAGAAATATGAAGACTAACAAGAGGTTTGTGGATTTGGCAATTAGGAAGCCACTAGTGAAGGCAGAAACTGGACTACAAGTGTGTGTGTGAGGGTGAGAAGTTAGAGACTAACAGAATGAGTTCAGGCAACATGAAGATGGGAGAAAGATTGACAACTAAACGTAGGAATGTGTGAGAGAAGATTTTATTAGAAAAAAGGACAATTGGACATGTTACATAGTTATAGAAAAAAAATCGACAGTGAGAAGAGAAAAAACCCTATAGGTACACAAGAAAAAGGAGGTATCTGATGGGGAAAGATTCCAGAGATGCCTCTGATGCAAAGCTCAGATGAGGGAACAGACTTGGAAACCAAGAGGAACATTCTTTTACGATAGGAAGAGAAAAAAATGTGTAAAGATGGGGAGGATTTTGGGGGTGGAGTAAAGGAGGAAAAAAGAATGGTTATCTATTAAGGGCAAGAATGGTAAGAGAGGGAGTAAGACGAGTGGAAAAGGTTTAGAATCATGGTTTAGGAATGAGACAAGGAATGTTTCATTCCAGCAGCGAGGAATGAATTCCAGCAATGTGGAATGAATAAAACTATTACTGACAGTAAGGGCCCATTTGAAGCTGGAAGTTTTAAAACATGTTGTTTAAGTAGGTCAGTCAGTTGGTCAGTGAAGATTGGGTTCCATCAGGATGTCAGGCAAGTAAAGGACCATAAGGCCAGGTAGCAAATATTATGTTAGAGACCTACATAGGATACATGGGAGAAGAGAGAAGATACATTTAATCCAGGGGTGAGAAGGGATATAGTTTCCTAGAGGAGGAGCTGCTTAAATTACTAACATAGTCCTATGTGTAAACTGTGAGAATAGAGAATGGGCCATTGGATCTCCATCCCATTACCCTTTAGGGTGCACTAATGAAAAGGTATTTAACCACATTCCATGTGAACTCAAGTAATTCTACACAACAGTATTGGGGGATCTTGACCATCAATGCCTGAGGATGTAATTTTCATGATTACCCATGTGTCTGACAGGTTAGACAGAGTTCCACAGGAATAATGATAAAAAGAAAAATTCCACAATCTTTTCACAGGCAAAAAAGTCTCTGGATGCGGCATATATTTTGTTAGAGTCCTCAAGCATTGGTGGAAAATATTCTGGGGAACCCTGATTCAACTTGGGCCACTAAATTCTGGATTAATTATTACTTGTAGCACCAAGCACAAAACAAGTATTTTCTTAAATATCTTTGCTTAATAAAAAAAGTCAAATTATCTGGGCTTTGTTCTATCTTAAAAATGCTGTTGATATCTTATCTTTCCATGAGAAACAAATATTCCAAAGGCCTCAGTCTGCATACTCCTTGCCAGTTACAACTCTGAAAACCAAAGTCTGCACTAAGCTTTGCTAATGGGCTCTGTTCTGTCCTCTGTACTAAGATCTTTTAATAGGAAAAACACTCCATCACTAGAAAGTACAGTTACAGAGTTGGAAGGGACATTGAAATCATTTGTGTAATCATTTAGGTGATGGAGAGCATATAACCCATCACTTGATTGAACTTTTTAAGTGAGAGAAGACACCCTTTCGTTTTTACTATTAATGTAACAGAACCTTTATAACAGTGAAATAGACGGTGGAAGAGCAGGATTTTTCTATTCAAAACAACTTTGCCTTTTCTGTTCTATACTAGCTATAGTTAATATTTATTGAGGGCTTATTATGTGCCAGGCATTGTGCTAAGCACTTTACAAGGATTATCTCTTTTTGGACTTAACAATAATCCTAAGAGATTGGTGGCATTATTGTTATTTTACAATGAGAAAATGGAGGCTTAGAAAAACCAAGAGCCAAGTAGAGGTTAAGTCCCTGTTCTGATTTTAATATTTACCGATGTGTGACTATCACAAGGTTACCTAGTCTCACATGACTTTGTATAAACGGAACAATTACAATACCTACCTCACAAGGTAGATGGGAAGATTATGTGAGATACTGGCCTAAAGCTCACCTGCCATAAATATGCTTTTCCTTTTTGGAGGTACAGGAGGTACTAGAAAGAACCTGGGTTGTGGAATCAAATGACCTGGGCTCAAAGCCCAGCTCTGCTTCTTGTTAGCTGTGACACTAGGCAGGTACTTCACCTCTCCAAGCCTCAATTTCCTCACCTATAAAATATGAAGACCAATACCTACACCTCACAGAGTACTAAAGGATTAACCGAGAGGATTCCTTAGAAAGACTTAGCTGCTACAAACCAAGGCACTATCTCCTTTCCTTCTTTGAGGACCATGTGGTAACTCTCTTAAGAGAACAACAAAAACAAGGAACACCACTTCTTTGAAGTTGGCAGGGGAGGTTTAAGAAACCTACTATGTGGAAAGGAGGCACTGGTTAATTACAGATCAGGTCGGTGTGGCAGATGTGTCTTGTTGCCTTCTGATTTCAGCATGGACAAATTATTTAGGCACCTAGGAAAAGAAAGGAGTTCCCATAAGAGGGTATAAATGAACAAGCTAGCTAATTGCTCCTGTTGATTGTTTGAGGCAGTTCTCTATCAATGTCAATTGATTTCCTAGGAAGGCTATCTCTGTGATTTCATATCCAGGAAAAGCACCTTCCAGCAGGAATGATGAGTAAGAAGTGTTTCAAAGATATTTATAGCATCTTCCTACATGCAGAACGATGGGGACAGGTCTTACAAAGATACTAATAAAGTCACCTTAGAAGAGACTGGTTGGATTTGATTTTCTTTTTAAATGTAGAGATTTAGGACTCTGTTCAGAGATAAAATGGTCCATTGTTTCATAAAGTAGAGATAGATGACTGGGACATAATTTTCATACAACTCCGATCCAGACAAAAGGATGTAAAGGCATTTGTACCTCAAATAACTCTCTCAAAATCTCTGCAGGAAAAACATTTTCCCCACCTTACAACCTTGTAGGTAACCTGCTCTATCACCCCATGGAAGATCTCAAAAGCAAAAATCAGAAATAAGGTAGAAGGTGAAGGCATATGAGGAGCAAATAAATGGTTGGCTATAATTTGACACAGAGGAGGTGGAAAACAGAATATAATAAGATATCATTATTTAATACTTCAAATGTTGTTCATAGAAATGACACTGAACTTTAAGCAAGGAACTATAAATTTACCTTTAAAATATCCAAACATTAAATCTTTTTAAAAAAAGAGTTCTGGTACTTCATTGGGAAAACAGTTGTTGGAAAATTCACCTTCACAGGCAGCCTGGTTCAATAGCAAAACCAAACTCAATAAAATGTTATTCTGTATTCTTTCCAAACATATCTACAATTCTATTGTACATTTTAGGGATATACCTCTATAGTGTTCACTTTGTCACCATGCAGCAGAAAAACAACTCAAAATATAAAGATTAACATCCTCAACCACCTCAACCAATTCAAATGAAATACGTGAAAAAAAAATTTCTTAAATTTCCTCTTAGTAATGAGCAATTTAATTAAAGAACCTAGAGGTTTGTTTTCTTCCTTCTTCACTCAAAGTAGTATATATAGACATTATAAGAAGATCTGGGTGATAGCCAGAGGGAAGGAAGGGTGGGGGCTGGGTGGAGGTGGGCAAAGAGATGAAAAATAGGGACACCTATAATAATGTTAACAATAAAAATAAAAGAAAATATGGGGTGGGAAAAGGAAATTTTTACTTCCTCTGTAGCTCTCTCTATGCATGTATATATGTTTAAAAGCTGTGTATTTCTATGAACTGTATAGCGAAGTGTTTTCTAGAATGGAAAGGTCAATAATCTGAGAATATAAATGATCTGTTCCACGCGGCTTCTCGTCCACAATGACTAAATCAACGATGAATGAACTTAACACAGATCCTGAATTCTTTTACATGGCTTCTAAGAGTTGGGAATTTCTGGGCTGGGGTAGGATCAGCCAGAAAATTCTTTTTTTTTTTTTTTTTGTGGGGTGGGGGTATTTGAACAGAGAAAATGACTCTCTGAAGAACAGGTGAGGAAAATGTTGGAATACTTCGGTGCAAAACTACAATTTGCTCATTACAAATACTTCAGACATATAGCTAAAGCCAAAAATAATTCCACTGAAATTGCCCTATTAGATTTAGGGACACAGATTTTATGATCAGGGACTATCAGATCTCCAATAGCAACTGCCCCTTATTCCCCTTAAGTCAGTGAAGAAGTCACATCCACAGGAGACTGTGGTCTATGTAATGTCATGGCTCTCATAGCTTCTGGTGGTGCCTGTGCCACATTTTTATCTTGTATTTAACAGCTTCAAAGTTGGCCCTAGGTCTTACACACAGTTACATATATCCCACTGGGATAAATAATACCTTTGTGAACAAATTTCATCGAAAGGGGTGGATAATCACTCTTTTCTTTAGATTGACTTAGTCCTAAATTCCCTTACAATATCTTCAAAACCCCATGTAAGGCAGGGCTCAGCAAAATATGGCTGTTTTGGTAAATAAAGTTGCACTGGAACACAGCCATGGCCATTCATTTGTGCACTGTTCTATGGCTGCTTTCTGGCAACACAGAACTGCATAGTTGTGACAAAAAATACAGGGCTTGCAAAGCCTAACATATTTACTATTTGGACCTTTATAGAAAAAAATTGCTGGCCCCTGATCAAGGGGTTCCTGTTGGACCAACTGGTCACTAGAATGTCATTAGGAAAGAGATGTCATGTAGCCAAACTAGACATGCTGGTGGGGGAGGTGGTTGGGCAGAAACAGTGCTGCACAAGCACTTGCCTCACTGCCTTGTCCCACTTTTATCTACTATCCAACAACTCTGTAAATACACGAGCTGGGTTAGGTTAAGTCCATGCGAATTTTGCCAGGAAGACTGGGCTAAAACAAAACCCGGTCATTTGATGATGAGATAAACTCATTTATTCACTCATTCAATAGACTGAGTACATACTGTGTGCAAAGTACCAGGGACATAGTGGTGAGCAAACAGATTATATCTGCACTCAGGGAACTAATAGTCCAGTGGGGGAGGAAGAAATTCTTTAGGTAATACAGATATGTGTGTGGGTATATATCTCTATATATCTCTGTGTGTATTATATTAAATTGCTACTACAATTGGTTTAAGAGAGAGGTCATGGCACCACTAGAATGTATAATGGGGTTATGATGTAATAAAAAAAGTCAGGAAGGACTTCTGAAGGGAGCATCAGTAGCGCTGAGGCTGAGCGGGAGGAGTGAACCTTGTGAGGAACAGAGGAAAGCAGTGCAAACTGAGGGCACAACATGGGCAAAGGCCTAGGGATGAGAGGAAGAAAGGTGAGTGAAAGCTAGGAAAAGAGGGCCAGCACATTTGGAGCAGAAAGAGGGAAGGAAAGGGTGTGAGGTGAAATTATGGGCCAGATTAAGCAGGTCCTGCGAAGTGCTAGAAACAAATTTTGAGTTACTCTAATGCAGTGGTCCCCAATCTTTTTGGCAGCAGGGACTGGTTTTGTGGAAGACTATTTTTCCATAGATGAGGATGTTGGGGGTTGGAGAGTGGCTTCATAGCCTGCTATCAGATGCAGCTTAATTGCCACTTACCACTCACTAAACAGGTTTTGATATGAGTCTGCAAGCAATTGCTTTGTTATGGTCTCAGTGAAGTTGAACCTCTCTGCTAATGATAATCTGTAGTTGCAGCCCCTCCCCAGTGCTAGCATCACCACCTCAGCTCCATCTCAGATCCCTTTCGTGTCCAGTTCACAGAATCTAATGTGCCCACTGATCTGACAGGAGGCAGAGCTCAAGCGGTAATGCAAGCCATGGGAGTGGTTGTGAGTACAGAAGAAGCTTTGCTCCTTCGCCCCACTGCTCACCTTCTGCTGTGCGGCCCTGTTCCTCACAGGCCACAGACATTAGCAGTCAGTGGCCCAGTGGTTGGGGACCCCCCGCTCTAAAGGCAGACTTAAACCCAGTAATCCCTGGGTGACAGTCTTTTCCCTTGAGCAATTACTGTCTTCATGATCAGTTAGTGTTTTTCTCCTCTTCCCTCCCCGCTTCCCCTCCCCTTGTCTTTCCTTTCCTTTCTCCCTTTCTCCTCTCCCCTTCCCCCTCCCCTCTCCTTTCCATTCCTCTCCTCTCCTTTCTATCTTTTAAAAACCCTAACCAAAATCAAGCTCTATTTAAAAAATTCATGTAAGTCTTCATCATATTCAGTGAGCAAAAACCAAAGAAAACAAGATAATAATGAATTTACTTCCATGTTTTAAATTAATATAATGTTATATATCACCGAATCTTTAAAAATTGAGAAAAATAAGTTGAAAAGCAAAAAACAACAAAAAGAAGTTACTAAGTGGCCTTTCATTAATGTATTAAACTTGTATACACATTCCTATTTTCTGTCTGAGAAGGTGAGTGGGTAGGAATATGCACAAAGCCATGAGCTGCTTCCTGCTGGGAACAGCAAAATTTTAACCTTCAATTATACTATTTGATGAGTAGTATCTTGCAGCTAAAAGACAAGGAAAGGTACTGGGGAGGCGGGACTACAGAAAACAGGAGGTAATACAGAAAAGGAGAAGACCCAGGAACAGGACAAGTGGATCTACCTTAGCCACTTATTAACTGTGTGAGCTTGGGCAAGTTACCTGTTTTCTGAGTTCTGGTTTCCCCATTTGTAAAAATGAGTATAATCGGGTGTCCATCACAGGATTGTTAAGAGGATTAAGTAAAATAATGTAAAACATTTCTAACATCTCATAAGAGATCTAATCATTGTTTTCTTCCTTTTCTCAAGTTTACAGACTGGTACAAGTAGCTATAGAAGATGCAGATAAGGAAGTAAAGGTGGAAAAGTCTTATCTGCAATTATAGTAGGTGGATCCTGGTTGGATTATAGTGCTTATAGTAAAATTTACAGACTTCTCTAACCTAATGACTCACAATGACTAATACCTTAAAGTGACTTTATCTCCAACTCTCCTAAGCAGGTAGCAAAATACATAAAATCAAAGGTGGAAATGTACTTTTGATTATGGAATTGAAGGCCATTTTGGATAATATTTAATGATACGCTTGAGAATATTTCTAAGTTAAAAAATGGCACACCTCAGCTGACACCTCCCACTCTTCCCATGCGTGCATGTGCTGCGAGGCTGGCTGCTAAGGGTGTCCTTGGGAAGCACTGTGACTGGCTTTAATGTGAAGATTGGCAATATCAAAGGAAATAATTATGTTTACATATGAAATCAGCCTTACTGCTTATCAAAACACAGAACTGAAAAATAAAAAGTATACTTCAGACATACAGGATTTTAAAAAAGCACTAGAAATGTTTTATTGTGCAACTCTAACCATCTTTTAAGTGTGTTATACCTTTTTGATTAGGAAATGTGAATGTGAACACTATATCCTTCTTTACACCTTTTAGGAAAACACTAAGTCCTTTGAAATGTAGCCAGGTAGTGTTCTGAGAAGGAACCCAAGGTTGTAA